GTGTGGGGATTGTCATGTGTGTTGGGCCTGGTCTCTGGGTATGTGCATTTCATTGTATGGGTATACGTACAATGATAATAAAGTATTCTTATCTTCTTAGGAAGCTACCCAAGTCCCACTCAAATCATCAAATAGCTTTCTGTTATGCTTTTTAGACAATTATTTTTTCTACCTCTACCTAGAGATGCTGTGAATAAAGTCTGAGATCTTTGGCTCGTAAACCAAAGTGAAACCAGCAAACATTTTTCTGCCAGATATTATTAACTTTAGAATGGATATTCAATATTTGGAGAATAGTCATATTTTTGTAGCTAATAAACTCTCTTCCTTTTGCCATGCCTGAAGGACAGAATGAGAACCATTCCGAGGTGAAGAAGCACCTGATTTAGAAACTCCTAGAAAAATAGGCTGAAAATATTCTGAGGAAAAAAAATATTTCAAAAGCAATTACCTTGATCTGTCAGACAAAGTTTGATCCCAGCTCCTTATGAAAAAATCTGAGGGGGAAAATCTTTAAAAATTACTGAGGTAATTTTGAATGCTGATTACAGATATGTAGAAAACACTCAGAGCCATTAACATCTATATCCATGCATTATATGATCTTCCTACAAATGAAGATAATTGGAATTGACTTCTAAGCAAGTTAAGAATTTATGTCTAAAGCAGCCTTCAGTTCAACTGTAAGTCAAGAATCCAGGTAGAAATTCTAAGAATCGCAATCCCAACAATTATGGAGGTTACTAGGTTGAAAAAGGTTGCTACAGGGACTTACTTAGGTGTAAGTTCAGCTGCATTCGAGAAGCCTTATTTCAAGTAAGCTTTGAGCTTCTTGCTGTGTAGCAGATTTTTTTTTGTTTTTTTGCTGTAGCAGATTAATTTTCTGTACTTGTTCTAGGAAAGGATCATTTCAGTTTTTAATTGCTCATTTGCATGTCAAGGAGATGAAATCTGCAGCTTTCCTTCTGCCACACTGTTTGTTCTTGCAGAAATTGTTTTCTTTCTTTCTCATGGTGATTTCTCAGTAGCTTTTATCTATTGTTTTTGTTTCATGCTAAATCTGAGCTTTTCATAAGTAGATACTAATGTGGTCCCCTTCTAAAGAGATCCAGAAATAAGAAAAGAAGGATAACTTTGTGCTTTCAGAAACACATAGGAATAAATGTGGGGTTTTTTTCCTAGTTAAAAGCTTTGTCATATCATTGCTATCAGAGAAAGTTTGGTTACTGAAACCTGTATATAAGCAGAGGACAGAAAGAACATCTACTAAGAGGAAATATGGGAGATGTAAAGCAAGTTAGACATCACAGGTGGATTGTCTAGAGTGATGGCAAGAAGCTGAATGCAAAACCTGGTGTTGGAAAGAAATGTCATCTAGGAAATTTTCTTTTTTGAAGAATGCTAACCAACTCCCTGCTTCCCTTTTGTGAGAAATTTTGACCATGAGAAAAGTCAGTTTTGGTCAGAAACTGGGATAGAAAGCAAACAGCTGTTAGCTAGTTCTTTCTCCCTTTTCTCACATTACTGAGCCCAAACCCCTATTATTCAGCTTCAATCTCTCATCTTTTTCTCTTCATCTCTTGCATCTGTCATCTGTGTCTTACACACACACACACACACACACACACACACACAGAGGCCCCTATGGAATTCTGCCTCTGCCCTTCAACCTCAGTCTGTTCTTGGTTTTCCAATTGCTTTTCAAATTAATCGGTCATCAGCCTTTTTTTCCTGATAGACACCAGTTGTAACTGGCGACGGGCATGCTGTTCCAGTTTTGTAACCTGCTGTGCTTGGCTTCCTCAGTTTTGCCATTCCCAAAACACCTGCAAATAGTGCTAAGACTTGCACAGCTTTGCTCTTGCACATCCAGGCGGATTTATAATACAACCTGCTGTTCCAGGCTGAGATCTCCTTGCAGCACAACATTCTCAGCTGCTGTGGATGAAGGCAGGATGGTTGTAACTTTGCTGCATACAGCACTGTGTTGCACACAGAGCAGCAAGCCACTGCTGAGCACACTGTGCACACCAATGGCTTGTTGTCCAGATGCAGCAGAGATTGGGAGGAGATGTAGCTCAATCATGCTGTGCAGATATGAAGTCCAGTCGTTGACATTTCCAGTTGAAACAATGTTCTTCAACATCAGGACTGATTTGACGAGCTGCTGTTAGAGCGGTGGCCTAGATGAACAAGCCCTCTCTCTGGCAGGAGAATAAGCTTGCTTGCAGAAGATCTGTTGTATTTTCCCTCATTCTCCAAAAAAATGCCTGATGGTAGAGAAAAGACAGGTCTCTTTTTGAAAAACTGAGGTGGAGGTACAGATTTTTTGTCAGCTTGGTGAGCATCTGCACATATAGTGCCTGATTTGATTTTATAAACAACTCTTACTTCTGTAGACCAGTTGGAAGGGTAGAAAGAAACCATCACAGGGCAATATGCAGCCCCCCAAAGATGGATCGTACAAAGAGAAATTCAGAAAAAAGATCAAGGTTTTTTTTGCACAAGTTAAAATCCTGAAATGTACCATCCAAACAAGTGTGTGAGGTTAAGATAGGAAAGGGGATGTCAAAGCTATGTTGTAGTAGCATCAACAACAACAACAACAACACTCTTGACAACACTGGGTGAAAAATAATGGAAGCTTTCTAATATTTTCAGGAATGTTGAAGGACACCATCTTTGATAACCTATGGTTTTTCACTTGTGCACCTGATTCAACCATCTTCTCTGTGTGTCTGTCTGTCTGTCTGTCTCTGTCTCTATCTCTATATCTTTATTTACATACATACACACACAGACACGATTTTACTATGATCCAGGAAAACTAAGACAATACATTTCCAAAACTCAGATTACTGAAGTATTTGCCTCAGCATGCTGTTGTTGTTGTTAACCAGTAAGTCATCAACCCAATGGGTAATGGATCTAATTTCATGGAGATCTTCTCCAGATCTAAACTATTCTTGCATTGTTGTTGAATGATCCACATTCACTTTTTACAAAGGAAAATTGTGTTTTATATTTCTTCCTTCTTTTCTTTCTTCAAGGCTATGAAAATGAATTGATAGATTATGGAACATTTTTAAAACATGCATTTAATAAAGTTAAGGAGAATGCTCTTTAAGCTCTACCCCATTTTACGCCAACATATAAATATTTTACAGCAAGATTTAAAATGAAGGAAATGAAGAGGCGGGCAGTTATATTAGAGTCCGTTGCATCCCCCCCCCCCTCTTTAATGCATGTCTTTAAAATGACCTGGAAATCCCACAGCTGTAGGCTAAACTGGGAATTGAAAAGCAGCCAGAAAAAGACAATGGCAAAATATTTTTATACTGTGGACAAGAAAGTGGTTTTTTAAGTGGTTGAGCATAACTTGGGGGAAATTATGTCTTTACTTTCACTTAATAGAAAGACCAACCCCACTTCCCTCCCTGCCTTCTACAACTTCATTTCTCCATCTACATTTTTATTTCTTTGCTGCTTTTCTTAAACCCTTCTTTATTCCTTTGTATCTGTGTTGGCTATTTATACTTTTGTATTCAGCTCCATGACAACTTTCTTTTATCCTCATCTTCTATCATCATTCTGTAGACTTTCCATCTCACAGTTTCTCACTATTGGTGCCTCTATCTCTTTCAATGAACTCTTTTCATTGTTATTATGACACTTCTTGCTATTGTTCGCACCTTGTTTAAAATTGCTTTTTTGATGCCTATCTTCTCAGCCAGAGTCCTTTTTCTTTCTTTCTTGCAACTGAAAAATAGGGGAGCTGCTTTTGCTCATAAGGATAAGGAAAGTTATAACACATATATCTATGCACCACCACACACACTTCCTTTTTTCAGCTCATGGCTTCCACTCCCACCACCTCTGAGAAGAAATTGGACCTGGACCTTTTTTCTCATTGTGACCCTGGCTTTGCTTGGAGAACACCCTTGTATCTTATATCTGAAGGCCACTAATTAATATGTAAGAAAATATCATGACAAATACAGCTGGGTAGACATTTAGCTTTGCTGCTTCAGCTACACAATCCCACCTTCCCAAAATCTGATCCATTCTAGATAAATAGAACATATGGATAGTTGGCTGGGAATTATGAGAATTGTCATGCCCATCTGAATGTACCAAGGAGGGTGTCAACATCGAACTTAACATCTGGCAGAAGCCATTTTTCCTGTTCGCCATTGCCACATATTGTAGGGAGGGCAGAAGGAATGTGCTACTAGACACAACACAAGGCTTTCCCATGAAAACCAAGGTCATCTCCCAGACAATGGAAGGAGGAAGAGATGAATGCCTGAGAAACGCGCCAACCAAGCTAATTGGCCAACATGACAAGTAACACTTGAGGGGAAGGGTTGTTGCTGGTTTGAACTATGCTGAAACCGTGGGAAAGAGAGTTGGTTTTACACTAAGGGTGTCGATATGGTGTGCCCANTTTCCAGTTATTAAAGAAGGAATGAAACAAACATTGAGCAATAGTAGCTATCTATTCCCCCCCTCCCGAAACACACATTGAAGAATGATTAGTATTGATTTTTTTCTTGCTTTTATTTTGTTTTGCTAACACACATAATGCGCTATATCTTTCTCTATTTCATTTTCACTGTCTTTTTTCCTCATCTAATTGTGATGTGACAATTGAATTTAGAACATTAGGCAAGTTTGACTGAAGTGCAAATAAAGGGGGGACAGAGAGGGGGGGGAATCCAGATATGCTTCAGGGACTGGGAGAAGAGGAGTGAAAATGGAAAAGGACAAGCAGGAAGGCTAATAGCCCCGCCCTTCCTGCTTCTGAGAGCTAGGACAATTATTCTCACTTACAGATGCTGGCGAAAAGGATCTAGGAAGTGAAAGATTCCCCTCACCCCCACCCCACCCCAATCTCCAATGCCTCCTCGTTTTCCCGGCAGCACCCCGGGCAAAGAGGTAACAGAGCTGTTCTTCAGCACCGCGGAGTGATCAGTGCAGGGGAGCTGTCCATTTCAGCACCACCACGTTAATGCAGTAGGTGGAGAGCGGAATTCACACGGAAAGCGAGGCGAGAGACATTGACGGGCAGCGTATCCTGCAGCAAGCCTTTCTGGTTTCCTTATCTTCAGAAGCTTTGCAGAGAGGGGGCAGGAAGGGGAAATCCATCTCGAAAAACCATCTGGCAGAAATTCCCCCCCTCCCCTGCCCAACTGTTAGCTACTACCACTCCTGAAGCTCACCATCTTAAAAAAAAGAGTAACAACTACTTCTCTACCACTGCCTTGGAGGAAGAGCCATGGAAGGCAAATGCTCAGCACCTGTTCAGTTGAAAGCAAGAGCTTACAAGAAACTGGCAAGTCTGGCTTGGTGGTAAAAAGGGAAAAAAAGGAGAAGAAAAACGGGGTCAGAGAAGAAAAGAATTGAAACCAAAACCAGCAAACAGGCAAAGTAAGGGGGGAAATCCAAGGAATATACACTGGGAAGAAAAGGATTGTTCATGGCGCAGGCTGCAGAGCTAAGCAAGAAGACTGAAGGTTGCATCTCTACTCTTACAGTCTCTAACTGTCTAGGTCCAGATAATGAGAGAGTGTGTTGAGAATGCTGCTTCGGTTGCCGCTGCTGCTGCTGCTGCTGCTCCCCTGTTCACTGTGGAAGCCATCTCCAAATTAGCCATCACATATGGAAACTGGAGACCAGAATTTTAGAAAAAGGGATTAAGGCATCTCATTTTGGGGGGAGGGTTACCTGTTTTCTTTCTTATTTTCTTTATAATATTATATAAAATATTAACAACTGGAACGGTTTTTTTTTCCTTTTGAAAATCAAGCCTCTTCTGTGTGATTTTTTTCCCCCATTTACACTGATTCGGTGGGCTTTCTTACCTCTTTTTTTATATATAGATTCTCTCTATTGATCTCAAATAGTTATTAAGATTATCATTTCTTTTACTAACATTACACCCACAAACAGAGAGAGGGAGAGAGAGAGAGAAAGAACGAGAGCCCAAGAATCAGAAAGCAGTTGGGTATTTGTATAATGAAGAATTATGGGGCTCTTTGACAGAGGTGTTCAGATGCTTTTAACCACCGTTGGTGCTTTCGCTGCCTTCAGCCTCATGACCATAGCTGTGGGAACCGATTACTGGCTTTATTCCAGAGGGGTTTGCAAGATGAAAGGAACCGGAGATAATGAAACCAGCAAAAAGAATGAAGAAGTCATGACCCATTCTGGATTATGGAGAACCTGCTGCTTGGAAGGTATTTAAATCTAGATCTCTTCAATTATTTCATCTTTCTTTTCTCCCTATGCTCCCCATTCCACCATTTTCTCACTTCAATCCCAACCTCAAAGAAATCAGGGTGTTTGATTTAGTTACAGAAGAGAAACAGTCAAGTTGTCAATATAAGGCAGACACGTTCCCATTATCCCCCTCTGCCCTCCCCCCGTCCCTCCATTTGTCTCAGTATGCCCTGAATTGCTTTGTCAGTTTCTGGTTTCTGTTGAGTTCCTTTATAAAATGCAAGTCAAAAGTTGCATGGTTAGAATGGGTTATTGGGGTTATAAAAACAGGAGGAAATAAGTGGTCTTCTTTTTTGAACTGGATTGATGGAGTCTGGGACAGGGAAACCAAAGAAAGAAAGGCAAACTTCCTATCTAGCTGATTTTCTTTGCAACCATTGATATCTTTAAAGTCATTCTCCAACTGTAGATTTTGTTATGTCTAGGCAGCTGTCTCATTTGGTAAGCTCAAGTGTCCCTCATTGCCTTGGTCCAGAAGAGTTTCTTTTTTTAAGCAATGGGAGGGGGAGCTTTCATAATGGTCTCCAGGCAACCGTCATACAGTTTGGGATAGATGTGGTTTTGTTTGCTCTCCTTTCTATAACTTGGGGCTGGTGAAGGGGATATATACACTAAAATATCCAAATGAACAAGTGGTAGAAACAGGAAGGGTGAACACCCTTTCTAACTCTTTCCTCTCCTCCTCCTCCTCCTCCTCCTCCTCGTCTTCCTCTAGTGGGAAAGTGAAGAAGAACATGGCAAGTCTGCTCTCACCCGTAATATGCCGGGATGGCAGCTGAAGAAGCCGCAGGCAGCTGGCTTCTGAAAAATCAGGCACTGGAAGAGGAGAGAATCAATTTGCAAGAGATGTAGGAGTATTAGTGTGCAAGAGGAGGAGGAGGAGATGAGGAGAAGGAGGAGGAGGAGGACGACGACGACTATGGAGAGGAAAATCGAATGTTGACCATTCAGATACTCTATAGAGTAGGGGTGCTTGATAGGAGTTCCTAATACCCCGTGCTCTTTAGGATTAGAACTAGCATGGGGAAGGGGACGGAGTGGACACGCGTCTACAGGGCTTGTGTTGTGTCCGCCTCAAACGCGAGCTAGTCCTGAGAACTGCCAGTGATGCCAGCGCTAAGAACGGAGAAGCATATCCCGCAAGATTGCAAGCGGGTTCGTCTGTAGAAGCAGGAACAAGGACATCAAATGTGCCAACCTAGCCTAATAGTCCCTTTTTTCTCTCTCGCCTAAAAAACAAAAAAAAAATTGAAAGGGGAAAAAGAGAAAGCAAAGGCTGTTCTTTGGAAACGATTGTAGCCAGGAAAGAGAGCATCGTCCCCCCTCCCCCCCCAACCCGCCCCGCGCGCCGTTCTTGGTGCAAATGGTTGAGTGATGGCAGAACATGTTTTGAATAGCTAAGTGACTTCATTGAGCGATGGTCTGTTTGACGCATACTGCATTTGGTGCCCTTTCTCTCTCCAAGCCGCTGCCTTTTAACATATTCTGCAGAGGACCTTCCGCCTGGGTATCTTCAAGCCAGGGGTAGGGGGGGTGGGGAAGCCAAAGCAGCCAATTAATCGAGGGTGTTTCAAATACACCCCCGAGGGCGCGCGTCCACCTCGAGGGAAGTGAGATTATACGTTCCAATATTTATCCATCCAGCCAACCAACCCGACAGCCTATCAGGCAGGCAGCCCGTTCCTTAACCGCGAAATGAAAGCGCGATGTGACCTCTCGATGAAAGAATAGCGTCCGCTAGAAAGCTCAAGAAAGGGGGGCTTAGAGGAGGAGGGGACCGAGGAGGCGAGGAAGGAGAAAAGCCCCTTCTTCCTTCGGCGCCCTTCTCTGGCTTTAGGGATTCTTAGGCAGTTGGCTGATGGGAGAGAGAGCGCGCTGGAAACAGTCGGGAAGGAGCCAAGCGACCCTTAGCAGAGATATGGGGGAGGAGGGGGCTGTCGCCGTGTTTTGTGGTTGTGCGATTGCGCTTCTAGATCCTCGGACACGTACCTCTGGCTCCAGGACATTTGGCGCGGAGCGGGGAGGTGAGGAGGCGGGGTGTCAAGGAGGAGGGGGGCTTTCTCCTTTCGCCCATCTTTGTAGGAGTCTCTATTCCCACCCTTCCTCCTCCTCCTTTTCGCTCACTCCCCACCCCCACCCCTCCCCCACTCGCCTGGACTTTGATCGCCAGGAGATTATTATTATTTTTTTAAAAAAAGCAAGGACGTTTTAATTCAAAGCCCCTAATGGTCCCCATCTCAAGAGGCGCCGCCTCGCCAGGCTCTTGAAATCCGGGGGGGGGGGTGGGTCATTGGGCGTACGCCTGGTTCTCAGCCGACTTCGGGCTCTTCGTTCTAGCACAGCAAAATGGGTGTGAGAGAGATGTACGAGCAGCAGCCTTGGCTCTGGGCCTAGCCGGTGCTTCCCCCGCTCCCCTCGACCGGGGAACTATTTTACATGCGCGCGACCGCACGCCATCCCGCAAAGCCTTTGCAGCCCGGGCTGAGGAGCAGCGAACGAGCCAAGCGTGGAAACTGCTTTATTCGCGACTCTTCTTCCCCAAAACTCCGTTTCCTTAAGACCCTAGGAAATAAGCAAGAGCGGGCGCCCCCTCCGCCTGTTGCTGCCCATTCCCTAAAGCAGTGCCTAGGAAGAGTGTGCCCTACACCAGCCTCGGGAATCAGGGAGCTTCTCTGCTTTTAACTTGCTCTTAGTTCTGCACAACTCACCTGAGATCCAAGTGGATCTCCAGACCAGGCAGTGTGTTTTCAGAACCCAGAACTTGTCTTACCATGTGTAGGAACTTTACTAAACCATCATCTTAAACCACAATGTGATTTGTGGTGAACATCAAAATTGTGCTTCATTAACCCGGATGTAGGCTTTAGCATATTGTGTGAACTTGGCTAATGCCTTTTTGTACAGTTGACCTGGTTTGTATAATAATGCATACACATGTTAAATACATACCATGCCTTACTTTGGTTTTGGATGAGCATGAAGCAAGTCACTTTAGTCTGCAAATTTCGTGGTAGTTTAATGTGTTGTTTGAACCCAGGTCATTGTGATTGAGTAAAACATGATTAAAGAGGCTTCGCCTTCATTGTGAATATCTGAAGGAATATTGAAATAATGTCTTCAAGCTGGAACTTCATTTTTAAAAGTAGCCCTGTAGGTTGTTATAGAGTCTGTGGTTCCTTGCAAGAGGGATTTAGATCTTTTGAAATTTAATTTAGATTTCTGTTTTAAGGAAGAATCTGATTTTTCTCTAAAAATGTGCACACACAAAAACCCACACAAAAACTCTGAAATGCAGTATATTTATGCCTGTGCCAAGGTACAGATCTTCTTGGGTATTTCTTTTTTAAGAAGCTGCCAGGATTGTGCTTTAAAATATGGGATAGGAGTTTGTGGTTAGCCATTGAGGTCCTTCTGTCTCTCCCCTCAACATTAGAGCTAAAGTAAGGTGACCTCTGATTGGCCCTAGTGGTCTTTCCAATTCAAATGAACAAGAACAGGGATTGATTAATATTACTAGTTAATAGTGACATCAATCTGTTCCCCTTTTAGAGCTGCAGTCTTCCAGAAATAAGCCCAATCAGACCCAGTGGGCTTATTGGTTCTTTTTTTCTCTGCAAAATATACTCAACAAGAATATGATTGTCCCTATCCAATTATTACATGGCAACTTAATACTATACTATAGGAGGCACTGAATTGGGATTGGCAGGACAGTGAAGTAGAATGTAAGGTCCCTGTGGGTTAGACAGGGTTAGACAGATTGAAGTATGTACTGAACTTCAAACCTTAGAGTAGAACCTATGCCCACAATTTTATCCATAAGGAGAACACATATTTCTATTCAAGCTTTTCAAAATTATGTTGTATTTCCTTTTTGGAATCTGAATGTAACATATACATATTTGTACATAATGTTCTGATTCAGCACATGTGCTCCATGAAGGCAAGCTGCCCATATAGTTATTATTATAACTATATATTATAGTAGGCCTATATATTATGATTGGCCACACAGTCAGCCAGATGTTTAGACTGGATTTGGCATTTTTATCTGCCTAATGAGTCCTTCCCAAGGACCTAGAATAGGCAGATGTTGTCTGATTATCTATCTTTCTATCTATCGATCTCACCATTTATCTCTCTCTCTCTCAGTATCTATCTTTATGGCAAGCATACCTAATACTCCTTCCTCTACCTATTTTCCCCACAACAGCAACAATCC